GAGACCTTTATTGAACCTACTATTTTTTTTCCCATTAGTCTATCAGTCACTGCAGAGAAAAAGGAAGCTCTGTCATTTGTTGTTGTCACTGCTTGCTAGGCAGCAATGAATTGATGAGATCTGTCAAATTTAAGCCTTTTTTTCTGAAAGATGCTAGTTATGTTGATAAAATGATGTGAGCAAGCGTTTTACTCCACACTTAATTCTTGATAGCAGCAGAACTGGGTTTTGTTCAACTTTTCCACCCCTAAAATTAATTGAAACAGATAATCAGGATAGGAAACTTCACTATTCCAAATGATAACCTTTTAGGGTAAATAAGCAAATGAAAATTTACTTCTATAACATAAATTGTTGAGCAAATTCAAAAGCATAGCTGTTAGCTCTACTTATTTCAAAACTATTAGTTCTTTTTCAGCTTCCCAAAGAAAAGGTATAGCTTTGCTGTTTCTTCCTTTAAAATATCTCATCTTTCTTTTCACCTCTGGAAATAATTTTTTTCTTACGAGCGTTTCAAGAACCCCGATAAAAAAAGGTGCTGTGATGCATATAGAGAGATAGATATCTCTCTCTATTGAGATATGTATATATATCTACAGGTAAATATATATATATCTATAGATATATGTATATTATGTATACATATACGCACACATATATTCTCCCCACTACCCCCCAGTACTGCCAGTGAATAAGAACAGGATTTTTTTTTCTTTTTAACTCTCCTCAAATTATTAATGCAAAAATTTTCTCCAGCAGGTGACAGGTACATAGCACAACAAGGGTGTGATTGTGGTATGTTTGAATATAACCATACTATCTTAATTTGCTATTGTTGTTGGTGCTTATTGGTTTAAGCCCAGTGGTAGGAGTTTTGGCATCTGTCAAAAATTAGATTACAAATAATAGAAGATCTTCCAATGATGTTTTTTCTGACAATTAACATATTCCAGTACTTGTGCTGTAGCATCCTCGCTGTTGCTGTTATTTGGGGTAGTTTAATTTTGCTGGCTAGAGGTGTCCCAATGTTTTGTCAGTAGATTTTATGACAAACCTTTTTAAATGGAGAAAAAAACCCCAACTTTGCTTTCATTGATGTGTTTCTTTGTATTAGTTTCTCGTTAGTCTAATTCTCACTAGTCCAAACTTGTCTGATGAACCTTATTGTAAATCAAGAGTATGTAATTAACGTATGAAAAAATATTGAACTTTTTTCCCCTTGCTTTTCTGGATTATGTGTAGTAGACAGATGAAAAGATGTAGTTGTTTAAAAAACAGTGTTAGAAACGTTCAGGCTTCAATTTCTAGAGGTTTGAAAATTGTTTTGCTCTCACTAAATCCTGTTATTTTTTCCCCTTAAAAAAAAAAGCAACTGTGCTTCATATACAACTTAATATTTAAATAAGAATTGATAAATATGCAAAGAGTTTTTCTATAGCAGAGATTGTAAGATTTTTTTTTTTTTTTACTTGTTTTGCTGCCGCTATATGCCAGTGTAGGAACTTCCAGCTTTTGGTGCTGCTGCTAGATGGTGAGATATAGCCATGGATTGTAAAGACAAACCTTTGGGTGTGAGCTGAATATATTTTAGTAGATTTGAATGAAGAATAATGTATAGAACTATTAACTAATACATGTGAGTCAATATTCCTATGCTACTGCTGGATGAATGGCAATGTACTACTTTTGATACTTTTAATAGCCTATGTATCTGGATAGCATCATATGTGTATTCAGCTGTTTTACAGCAGTATTTCTTGGAAGATCAGATTAAGACCATTTATCAGCAAATGCTTGTACTAATGATAAAAGCTGTTCTGATACCTTGCTTGAAGGATGTAAGGAATCCGTTTTTAGATTAGAAGAATGAAAAAATAAATGTATAGTATTGAATGTCAGGCAACAGGAGGCCATCTCAGAATTCTGTTAATGAATAGGAAAAGTAGTAGATTCCTGATGTGACTTGTTCAAAATAGTGCTCCAAAACAAAAAACACAAAATACTGCATTGAAATAAACAGAATGACTCACTGACTAATGAACATAACTTATCGTAACAGCCTCTCTGCTTTGGCAGCAAGAGAAAGCTATGAAGTTTTTAAAGTGATTTTGTAGGGATTCCTTTTCTCTTACTGCAGTTTGAATAGAAATAAGCTGCAAGCAGATTTACCTAGTAGTATGCACCAGTGACAACAGAAATACATTGCATTTTAATAAATATATTCATGATAGAAATATACTACATAAAGGTGTAAAGATGAGAAATTCTATAAAATATGGAAGAATGAGACCTCCTATCTCCTTGGAAGGGATAGAGGGAAGTATAACACAGGATTAAGTTGTCCTGTTACACAGTGCTTCAAGTTTTCCTGGTGAAAGTCTGAGATTAATTGAAATGTCAAGCTTGGACTCATATGTTAGCTAATATTGTATAGTGAATTTATGCTGGTCAGCTCAGCTACGTTCGTTGGCCACGTGTGTGCGATTAGGTGATGGCAAATGCAAGACTGTGAATTATCTGAGGCTACAGTGAGTGAAAGACAGCTAAGTTAAGTTGAATCACTTTCTGTCAGTCAGTGGCTAAGATTGTCCAGCCACCTTGGATAATAGCAGCAGTCTTACTTATTTCCTTGTAATTCTCACGTAAGGAGCATCAACGTTTAGAAAAGCTGTACGAAAAAAGAGAGCGAGAGTTCCTCTTGATTTATTTGCTGTATTTTCTTTCTAGTGAAAATAAAATGACATACCACTGGCAAATTTGTCCAATTAATGTACTTTTAATGAAATACTAGAATACCTGAAGTTTAGTCACTTCTGTAGTAGTGATAAATTTTTGACTGATTTTTGTATTGGGTGAAAGAATTTCAGTCTAAAATCTGTATTAGACCAATTACCGCTGGCATTCTATTTTATGTTTAGAACAACATAATGTTAGTTTTATGTGTAGGTAAATGAATGAATAATTTATTTTTTTGTAAAATACTTCTATTTTCCTTTCAGTGTTTTGTATCTTACTTGCGTTCAATTTACTTAATGAAGAATAAGGAAGTATTTGATGTTTTCAAATTGCCTCTAGCAGAATATGCCCTGTAAGTATGATCAATAGAAAACATAGTATTGAAAGTGAAAAGTTTATGATAAAAGTTTTGCCATGTATGATAGCTTTAAATACTTGTTTTAACTATGTTAAGACACAGAATTTGAAAGTTTCTTGTAATGCATTTGCACTTTCATGTTTGTGCTGTGCTTTTGTCTATTTTCAAAGACATATTCTAAATAGAAATTCTCTAAAAACTGTATACCTCTACAAAGAGAAAAAAACTTGCAGCAAAAGCAACAATTGCTGTATACAATGAAAAAGACTGAAGTTATGAAAAAAAGAACAGAGAATGTTTTTTTTCAGTGATGCCATTTAGCCTCCTAGCTAAATGTTAACATATTTAGCGTATTGCTTAAAAAAGAAAGTGTAATATGTAAAGATGGTACATTGCAATCTCATTTTGCATGTGATTGGGACATTGCTCCTTAAATATAAATCACATTGAAAAAAAAAAAATCACTGTGTTATGGGGAAGAGAAAATATTTCTGCAGTGGACTGAGTCGTGTATGTTTTACTGTGTCTGTTTTCATATATGTGTGTGAACCATTCCACGTTTTGCGTGGGAGGGAGCTTAACTCGTGACAGGTTGACTTGGAAAAACATTGATCATCTGAGACTGTTTTCAAACTTGAAAATTTAGAATAATCTCATGAGAGACAGAGTAGTCAGAAGGGAGCAGGAAGGTGCTCAAAGATGCATGATAAACTAATTCTTCATGTCTCTGGAATTTCATACGCATATGACTTGAATATTCCAGCTTGTCAGCATGTGGCACAGTGAACTAAAATGTGACAAATTACTTGACTGTAGAACACCTGGTCTCTGTGCTGTAATTAACATGATTATGTGTTTTAGACTATGTAAGCCTGTTCTAAAAGACACGTTCTCGCTTTATGAATTGAAGAATTTTTAAAAACAGAGCTCTCAAAACCTTGAACAAACCTTAGTGTGCTGAGTGAAAGGGATAGTAGCAGGCTTTTCAAGAAGATTGACTTAGAGGGATGTGCTCACAAATTTCACAGGTGTGGTGGTAGTACTTGATTTAAGGAATCTCTGTCTCTTTCTGGATTTCAGCACGCTGTGTTGTCTAGCAGCTGATATTTGTGTAGGCTGAATAGTCTACAGACCAGTCAGGCGTTGCTGCCAGGATTTGGTCCTTCATGAAAGAAGATTCAAATCCCAACTGTGCCAAGTTACTAATAAGTCATTTCTGTATTAAAATGGGAGAAATTAGATGAAGTTTTTGGATAGAGAAGGAGATGTTTAGTTAGGACTGTGGAATATGTGGAAGTGTAATCAAAAGGTCAGAAGATACTAAATCTGAGAGAGAATTTAGAAATTCTGCTCTGAGGATCTGTGAACTCCTTCCACTGGCATTCTTCTTTCCCACTCTCCAGATTGTTAATCTACCTAAATACACCCACAGTCCCCTGGCTTTCAACTGAGTGCATACGCCATAGCAATATAGTGGATCAGTCAGCTTAATTTGTTTGAAACGTGCAGTGCCCTTTGTGGTTTGCTAGGTTTGAGTTCTGCATTCAAAAGCAGCTCTGTTGTTCACAGACTCAGGGCAAACCTAGAATAAGAATCCTTTCTTCCGTTCACCTTCTTCATGTATTCTCCTAAAAGTATTTCGGTCTTTCTGCAGAGTTTTACTGCTTACTTGATAAAAGTTACTTCTCTGAAAATTCTGCAGAGAAAATGGGCTGCTTAATGCCCCTGTCAGGTTTGCATTTCAGTCTGAGGTAGTTGTCTACTGTTTCCATTGCTCTCTTGCATGGCATATCTGTGCACAGAGGTTCTCTTCAGCTCTGCTGATTGAGTCTCTGTAGGAAGGGAGTGGTCCTTTTTAAATATAAATCTATATTTTAATATAAATATATATTCTAGAGATTTATCACCATCAAGCTTTTATGCATTAGTATTCTATCCAGTACCTTCTCATAACAAATGGCTATCAAGGCTAATTTGCTGGAGAAAGCTTGCATAGGCCTTGTGCTGGCCTTTACAGAGCCAGCCTTTAAGTTTCTTCAAGGAGACCCTCAACTTCTGAATAAAAGAGGAATTTGTCTTTTCGTTACAAAAGACAGCTTTGAAAATATAGACAAACATAAATACCAAGGTCAAAAGGAATAATTAGTTGATTTCCTCTCCTGCATAAGAGACAAGATAAAGAGAAGGCAGAGAACCTAAATATCTTGCTCTTCAGGCACTTTATTCTTTTAAATGCTGACATATATATCGGTCTCTAGAGGTAGAGCAGGCAAGTGCCGTAAGGGCCTGCTGTGGAAGGTAGTTTCCTCTGATTTTCCTGATGTTCTCCAGAAGGAGCAGAGGAGGAAGGCAGCATATTCTTCTGTTCAGCTGTGCATTGGTACAGAGAGGATAAAAGAAAGCAGGTAGAGACCAAATTACTTGGGAAACGTCTGAGAGACACAGCTTGATACCCAGCTAATTTACCACTGTGGCTTATAAACCAGTGTTACGAAGCAGTGGGTGGCGGCAGATGCCATCAGGCCTGGAACAGGCACCAACATGATGGTGTCAGGATACTTATCTGTCTGTCTGCTCCTTTGCTGGCCAGGCAAGGCACTTTCCCTGCTCCCAGCCTGGTCCCGCTGACTGCGGGTGCAGGCCTGACCCTTACGGCACGGTCAGCAGAGCAGGTTTGGTTCGTTTCCCTGCTCCAGCTGTTGTGAGCAAGTGCAGAGCTGCCTGACAGGTATTTCCAGACTGCACCAATCACAGGATTTGCACACCTGATCATCCGGTCCCTTTCCTGTTTCTTGGCCCTTCTTTTCGCTGCCCTGCACTTCCCTTTCTCTGCCCCAGGCTCCTCCCAAATAAACAACTGTTTCTAATTACTTTTTTCCTCCTGTGTTTAAATACTCTCATGATGAAAACATTTTTCTTTGTAACAAGTTGGAATTTCCACTGTAACTTACAACTGCTGGTCCTTGTCTTTTTGCTGCACTTCTGCCTTTTGAATACTTCTTTAATACTTGAGTTGAGTCAGTTCATCCATGCTGGCCTTCTGCCATGCCTGCTTCAGTTTCTGTACATCAGAATGGACCACTCTGGGGGTTTTAGGAGGCTGTCCTTGAAGATCAACCAGCTCTCTGAGCTCCTTTGTTCTTCAGGGCAGTCTCCAATGTGATTCTGCCATGCAGATCCCTGAACAAGCTGCAGAAACTTTGTGTAAAGTCTAGGGTCGTTATTCTGCTTTTCCCCTTCCTCATCCTAGGATCTTAAACTATCTCATGGTGCTTGCAGCCAAGGCTGCCACTGACCATCACTTGCCTGAGCAGTACTTGTGCATTCGTGAGTAGTAGTTCCAGTAGAGAGCCTCCCGTAGTTGGCTCATCCAGCCAATTTGGAAAAAATGGTCTATAATGTACTCTAGAAATCTCTGTTGCTTGTGCCCTGCTATGTTGCGCTTTCAGCAGATGTCAAGGTGGTTCAGTTATCCCATGAGAATCAGAGCCTGCAATAGGGATGCTGCTTCTGGTTGTTTAAAGAAGCTACGTCAGCTTCTTCTAAGTAATTGGGTTGTTTGCAACAAATGCCAGCCATGACATCCTCTTTGTTGGCTGGCTGACCCATAAACTCTTTTTAAAAAAAAAAAAAAAAAAAAAGCATATAACCAGTTTCTGATTTGTGAATACTTAGTTAATTTTTTTCTTCCAAGTCGAGATCCTCTTGTTGTCTTCTTGTTCTAGAGTATTGAGAGCTATTTTAGTGGAAATGTTTTTTTACCGTAAACATAGCAGATGATCTCCTTTATAGATGTTAATATGGACTTTTGAAAGCACAGTGCAGTAATCACAGTTGTTCATCATGAGTAAGAGCCCATCCTGAAGTTGGCTAATCAAATAGGTAAAACAGCACAAACAATTTATCTGTTCATTTTGCTTATTAATCACAGCCATCTGGAATGTCTGTTTAATTCAGACTTGTGTCACTTCAGTTGATTTGATTTCTCCTGCTTTCAAATATTTGCACATCTTGTCTTCTGAAAACCTTTTGAGTGTGGATGTAATGTATACTGCAAGGCAAATGACATGCATTTCTTCTCTTGAAATGGCTTCTGGTAGTATTTAATCTTTTGGGGGCTATTTGAAATCATTGTCTGTTCCGTAGTAAAGGAAATCCCTGTGCTGTACAGCAAACTTTTTTTTTTTTTAATTCAGATCATTCTGAAGAAGTTTACTAATGGAATATATCCTCTAGTTTGTATATGTAGTAACTTAGTATTAGAGTGAAGAACTAACTTGTGTAAAAGTTGCTGTACATCAGCTCTCTGGCAGAAATGAGCTCAGATCCTTTACAGCTAGCTCATCTTTCAAAATAGGACTGGAAATCTCGTAGGTACAGATTAGGCAAGGATATTGTTGACGCTTATAAATTAAAAGATTGTAATTGTCTGAAATTTTCTGTTAAATTTTTGTGCTCAAGAACAGATTTTGCTATGAGTGTCTAAAACTCCATCTTTTTGAAGAGTTAAGAGGTACACCCAGCTTTTCACAAAATCCAAATAGTGGGATATGAAAATTACTCTGTTAATGCAATCATACCCAAGATCTTTGTAGGAACGTAGATTGACAAACCTCAGAAGAGGCAGCATTTAAGTCTGATGCACCATTCATTTGAATTAGTTTTTAAAAATGTTTACCGTTTTTTCTCTTTCCTCATTCAATAGCAAACAGAAGTGGTATTTTACTTAAAGCTGTATAATATCCTTTCTGCAGAACTTCTATTTTGCTCTTTTAAATTATTTCCTGAAAATTGTGGTCAACTTGCTATGAATTGAATGAGGTGCTGGAGCACTGTGCGGTATTCAGTTACTTTTACACATTCCCTGATCAGTACTGCTGTGCAGATGATGCCTGGCCATTTCAGTTGTCACAGATGAGGAGAGCTCTGTGTGTCAACTGTGCTATCATTTGTAGTAGAAAATAATCAGTTTCAGCACTGCTTTTAGAAGTTGATGTAAAACTTTTTTTTTATGGTGCTTGCTCGAAAGAAGTCATTTCACATTTCACATCCAATTTGGAGTAAGATTGTTTGTGGTTTGTCAGCTGAGTCTGAGTTGCCGTTTTAAGGCTATCATAGTTTGAGGACTGCATTATGGTTTTATTATGTTTTTAGTGTTGTGTATTAGAATTTAACAAATCCCACTCAATTTGCCTGCTTTTTATCTTTCCTTGTGAGAAAATCTTGCACGTGTCTTAGAAGAATGTGTCTGCTAGAACTGAAAGTCAAAGGCAGAACAGCTGTAACTTCAGGTTGAGTAGGACTGTGGTCTGAGTGGCAGCTAACGAATAAATGAAAATTGACATTGCCTGTTACAGCTGATGGGAAGAAAAGCTGGTATATTTTCAATTTTTTGGTATGATTGAACTCTAGATTTGACAAATGACTACAGGAATAAATTTTAAAGAAGCTGTCAGAATCTTACAGCAGGAGGAAACTTTCAGCAGTCGAGGAATGTTTCTCCAAAACGATTCTCCATTTGGAATATACTTTAGAAAAGAACCCGTAATGAGTCAAAATACTGATGTTTCTCTGAGAAGTTATATAAGAAAGAACTATGTGGGGGATTATTTGTACACAGCTTTCATTTAAGGTTAGCTGCTTGTAATTGCTTAAAATTCAATCCTAAAAAAACAAACAAACAAAAAGACACAGTGCTTCCTCCTCTCTGTGCCCTCCAAAGCGTCCAGGAGCTAAATTTACTGAAGTCGTCTACTTTTAAATGATCTGGAGACAAAATATCTGCTGCCATGCAATGCTCTCCAATATTGTTCCTGTTTAGTATTTACATAGGTTTGTTTTAGGGCTAATTTTTGTCCCTTGCTTTGGAGTATTAATATGACTTTGAACTGTCATGGCTACCTGGGTGCAATAATAGTGCTGTTGGCTTTGACGTTTACATGTGTCGTGAAGATGAAAGCCTTACTGCAAAGGAGTGCAGGCAGGTGAGACTTCCTTTCAAGGCACAGACAAAGGACAAAAAGCTCTTGGCTTTTTCTACAGTTAGCCATTCATCCATATCATGCTTGTTTGCATAGTTATGGGCACTGACAGAGATGAGTGCTTCCTCAGTCCCTGACGTGACATCTGTATTCTTCAATACAAAACTGTATTGATGTTTCTTCTACCATATTACATTATAAATCATATTTAATTTGCTCCTGTTTTTAGCTTTAAGGCTATTTGTTTGCTATCTTCTCCTGGTAGGTTTTCTAATCATTCTTATCCTTCTCAGTGCTTTGTTCTCTATCATTTCATCTTTCTTTCTCTCCCAATGTTCATGTGTGTTTTCAAGGTAGAATATCCTACTGTGTGTCACAAAGCCTGTTTTCTAAATATGGGGGTCAAAATGCAAAAAAAAAAAAAAAAAATTACCATAATTAAACTCAAAGCGCTTGAGCCATTGAGGAAGGCTTCTATTTTAGTCAGATTTTGTTTTGTGTCAACCTTTCAGAGTAATTTCCTTGTTTAATTCCATGCTTTAGATCACTTGGTCTTGCGGTGGCACCCCGTGTGAGATTTCTTCAGAAAGCTCAGAAACAATTATCTGTGAATGAGATAGCTGAAGAGACAGATCACTTGAAGGAGACAAAGCAAAATAAAAATGTCAGCTCCTCAATAAGCAAAGAAGTAGAGAAATACAGAACTAATTTCAGTGGAGAGGTATCTGTTGACAAAACAAATGAAGAGGATGGAAGGAAAGAAACCGAGGAATATCCTTCTTCCAGTGGAGGTACTGATGATGGTGAGTCTGAGGAGGAATTGAAAGAGGTATTTGAGGAGGAAGAGGAGAAGGAAGTTCCAGTGTTAAGCAGGGTTCCAAATGCAGACTCCATACCGTTCTTTGAAGATGATGACGACGACGATGATGATAGAGATCTTGATTTGCTGACAGTGAAACGACGGAATGTTTTTGGTATCGAAGCTAGAGATAATCCAGCACTGGTAAGTGCACGTTATATTAAAGCTCATTAATCTTGATGATTTTATGTTGGACAGACTCCAAGTAAGGAGGAGAAAGGACAAAATTCTGCTCTTAGAATAATGCCCACTTGACTGACTACATAGTTAATTTATCAGTAGCAACTTGAATACCTAGGAAATCTTGCCAGTTTTAGTTCTTCTTGTTTACTACTTTGCTTGTACCTTCCTAAAATAGCTGCAACTTTTAGTCCTAATTTTGATAGGTGCTGCAGTTTCTGGCAGTGGGAACCACGCTGCGATACATGCTTTCTAATACAATCCATAACAAATGGTCTTTACAATAATGTAACCTTCAAACCATAATTTTTTCCTTTTAACAAGATGTTTGGAGAGAGAGGGAGAGAAAACAATTCTTGTAAAGCATAGTTATAAAGGTTTATTGGAAGTATTCAGGTAGATGTTTCATTTCCTTGGCAAGTAGCTTTGTATCTTGGGTTCTTCTCTGCTCCGTGTTCTGAGAAATGTTGTTTTTATTTAATCTTTAAATACAGCATCATAGTAAGATTTTTTTTTTTTGCACTTATAAAAAGTGATTTTGGTAAGTTTACATTGTACTTTTTTGTGTGTCCTCTCCTATCCAACAACTAAAACTCTGTAGTAAAGAGATGCAAGTGATACGGCAATCTGTTTCAGCAAGGTGGTGTTCTTAACTTACATGCATGCAAAGGGAGCCTTCTGTTAAGCAAAGTATTTAGTTTTCCAACTGATATTTTAAATCTTTCTTTTCATGGGATGTTGTTTAACAGCACAGAGCACTCGTCATAAATTTAGGCTACTCGTCCTGCTTGCTACCTATATAAGCAGCGTTTTTCCTTTTATATTTAGTAAATAGCCTGTAAACTAGTTTATCAGCTAACTTTACTGAAGATGAGTAGTTATTCAGTAATCTAATCCCTCCCCCCACACATGCTGTCTCCTCTCTTGAGGAGACAAAAATCTTTCAATTTCAAAATTTTGAAAATCACCGAGTAACCTTTTTAACAGCTTTCCAGCATTAAGCATTTAGAGGTTAGTTTAAGCTCAGACAAGTCAGCAATTATTTTCTCTGATTTAGTGTTAACATACTGCAGTAAGGATTAATTTTTCCATACTTGTTATGCAAGTGTGGGAAGACCATGTATCTGAAGCCATTTGTACGTAAAGGCATAATGGTGAAATGTTCAGTTATTCTTTTAAGCAGCGGCAGACTAGAGGTCAAAAGTTGGAAGATTTATATCATTAGGAATTTAGATATAATTTAGATAATCACCTACATAAATGCCTACTATAGTGAAAGATGCAAGATGCAACTTTTAGAAAGCAGAAATGAAGGGCATGCAGTGCCTAACTGCAAGCTGGTCCTGACTGATGCATTCATTAGTGTGGTGTTTATTAACTTCTGGTAGCATGAAAATTGTTGATAAAATGTGAACTGCTTTAAACTTATGGTTTCTTTTTCAATAGAAATAGAAGAATGAAGGTTTATATGACTAACAAAATGTTATCTTTTAATATTTTAAAATAAAATGCACACAATAGACATTCTGTAGGAAGATTCAGGAATCTTCCTGAATAATCTTTGTTATTTTACATAGATAGCTTAAGACCACATTTTATGTGGCCTTTATATTTATAAAAATATATAGATAACTTGCAACAGTTTATTTTTTTTCCTTTTGTTTTTTTTCCTGCATAAAAGTTTTCAAGGGATTATTTCTGCATTAAGGTAAAACAGTTCATATGAAGAATTGGAAAAGAACTGGAGAGAGAGAACCAGTCCTTTGGGGATGTAAGAAATGAGGGACTCGGCAGTACAAGTGCAGTTTCCCTATTGCTGTATGCTGGAGTGTCCTTCCAGGAAGGACTCAGAAGATAGTTCGAATACGATATGCTGGATCCTTGCCACATTTCTGAGATGAAGAAGTGCATTAATTAGTAGTATCAAACGCTGCAGAGAGTCTAGGAGTAGACAGTGGAGTGTGCTCTCAGTTGAATCAGTTACTTTTTTTTTTTAACCTATTCTGCACACTAAATAAGGTAGGAGTCTTGTGGAAAAATTAATGTGCGATCATCCAATTGTGGGAATATGCCCAAGAAGGATGAATTAAATTTGCATTAACGCTTTAAACTTGTGTGATTGATTTTGCAACTTTAACATTCTTATATTGTGCTTCTTGTTGACAACAAAACAGTCCCACTGCCTCTGTTGAGCTTGAGCATGTTTCTGTAGATGGAAACTTTCCATTCAGGTTCAGATTTTGACACTGACGGAAACTACTGTTCTGGTTAAGCTAGTAAGAGGTAATGGATTCTGATAGGGAAGAATTAGATGTTCAGGTTTGTTATGCAGAATTTTTAGTGTCCCTTTGAGCCAGAAAATGCTGCAAGTATTGCCTTCTGTAAATTCCATGGGCCATATAATTTTAATTTCCTTCAGTGAGCAGCAATCCATTTTAATAAATAAAAAGCATGCGGTGTGGTTAAGGGTGAATATGGAAGTAAAGAAGAAATCCTTCTAGCCGGCCGTTCCAGAGGTCTGATAGGTGTTGTCAAACACGCCGTCGCCTCCTCATCTTTGTGTCTTTCCTAGCCCCTGCAGTCTAAGAAAGAGGAAGAGGGGGTATTACGCTGGCCTTCGGTATCCCCGTGTGGTAGTGTAGCGTGCTGACTCCTGGATCACAGGCTGCGCTTGCTCTTTGTACCGGGGAAAGGATCTGGGCAGATGGTGCACAAGCCATTTAAAGTGGTCATGGAGTAGGAGGAGATTTGTGTGACTCTCTTGGAACTTCTTGTTGTTGTTAGGTGCTGATGTTACCTAACCTGACAAAGAAAGCTAGGTCATGGTGTGAAGTGAGACAAGTCAACCATTCGTTTCGTTCACGACACGACTTCCAGACCTATTTCACTCTTCCCCTTAAGTGTTTCTTTCAATCTCCCTCTCCCTCTCCCCCCACCGCCCTTACACACACATTCTGTCTCCATGTTTTTGTGACAAGAAGTATAAAACAAAAATTGGATCTCTCTGTACTGCCATAAAGAATGAAAGCTTAGGTAAGGTGGAAGATCTTGGCACATATTACAATTCTGGTATAAATTTCTGAGCTCATTTTTTAAGAGGTAAGTCGTACTCACTAGCTGTCCTATTTATAAGTTTTACTTAAATATGTCAGGATTTTAAACTGGTGATATAAGTCATGCGATTTGTTTAAAAATACAGTGTTCTTATGTATAAAAAGAAAATCAGCTGTGTGCCTAGAGCAGTTGGCAAATATATAGTGTTATTTTGTTGTACTGTTAGCTTTATGGAGATTATTTGTTTCAGGTGCGTTTAACCGTATTGATGCCATAAAGACGTTGAGCATTCCCTGGCTAAAAACTTTTTTAATGTTAATTTTATGAAATTGGATGTTGCATTTTCAAATGCAAAGGGTATATTTCTTAAACTTTAAGCACTGTTTATCGGAGAACAAAGATTAAGGCTACAGTAGGTTTTTCTTTTTTTTATTTGCCCATTACTTTAGTTACCTTGTGAGAAAGATTTGCCAGATCTGTCTTCTGCTGTCAAAATTCCTTTTTTGGGATACAGAATATTAAACTACCTAATTTGTAGGATTGCTGTGATGCCCTCCCTGCCCCCGCCATCTCTTAATTTTTTGGCCCCCTAAAATTTTCTGCTGGGTACTGCCCCCTTGGAGAGCGTTGTAGTAAGCGTGAGCCTCTGGACGGAGGGCTGCATTAAATCGTACTCGCAGATTCCTAGTCTGTGGGCTCGCCGAGCTTGCTCTTTGAATACTGTGGCTGTGGAGAGAAGTTGTCTCGTGTAGTTGGCTTGGTTTGTAGTCCAAGAACATTAAATACAATGAAATTTTCTTACAGGCTTGTAAACCGTGTGATTTGAAACATTATGACCTGGGTATATACTTGTTTATAAAAGCAGGAAAGAACAGATAAAGGTAAATCTCCCTCAACAGTGATGATATGGAGTCTGTGCTAGGAAGCAGGAAGGGGTTGCTTGATGTAGTGTGGACTTGGTACAGAAAATGCATCAAGGAAACGTAGTTTAGTACGCCGCAAAGTGAGGCCATAGTTCTCTAGACTTTTCTTCTATAATGTTGAGAAGAAAACTGTTACCGTGCAGATAACATCACTTTTCAGAGTTGTGATTCAACTTGGCTGCTTCTCTTACACTCTTTTCTTTCTGAATTCAGTCTCTTCCTCTCCCACATCATGAGGTAAATTCTGACTCATCTTGTGTTCATATGTTGCTTCTTCTCAGTGAAGCGTCTTTTAGTTCCTCTTACTTGCTCTTGTTCTGCTACTTACATATTAATTCATATTAAATAGATGACTTTGTCTCCTTGGCACTTTTTTGCTGGATGCAAAGAAAGCGAAAGGCCAGAGGAGGGAAGAGGCAAGGGAGCTGCCCGCCTGGCTGGCAGCGGTGGCGCTGGCGCGGTGCGGTGTCCGGTGGAGCAGAGCCGCTCCACTGCGGCCGGGGGCTAGGAGCAGGCACTCTGCCCTGGAGGCATGCTGCAGAGCTAGCATCCTGGCAAAGGGAGCACAGAGGACTGCTTATTTTTAAGTTAAATAAAAGTCACTATGGTGATACATGATATACCACAAATTATCCTTCCTACAGGATGTAAGTGCGTTAGGGTGTAGGTCTAGTACCAGTGTGCTTGTGCATTTCTAGCTGAATTACAACACGTAATGATTTATTTTGAAGTGTTAAATATTTGCATACAAGTGAAGGGGCCTGCACTGGACACTAGCCAAAGTGCTTCCAGAATGCTGTGCACTATGAAGAAATATCTTTCATCAACCATGAATCAAAGTGAAACCTGATGACAGAGTCTCAATCTGTGCTCAGCAGTGAACACTGAATGCTTGCCACAAAGCTGATGGAAAATTTTAAAGAAAGCACATTTTCTTGCCATGCAATTTCAATAACTTAAGTCCAACCAAAACTTGTTTTTTAACAA